CGTGCAAATGGACGCAACATTGGTGGCCATCAACTCTCAGCATTGTTTTGAGATTGGATATCCGTTTCATGCTGTTGTGTGATATTGGGAGATGTTGAGCAAACCGGTTAAACGTTTAGCTACGTGCAAACCATCCTCGGAGACCCAGGGGCAGTCAGTCGGGTCGGGAGAAAAGGCGGGACGAAAGTTTTCATTACGGGCGAAAGAGCCCCTGGGTACCGACTCTCACCGGACCATTTCCAAAAATTCCAAATGAGCGTGCACTAAGATATGTTTACAAAGATAAAACATCAGCTTATTATGAACTGCTACAGCGAATAGGTTTAGGAACCACGCTGGAAAACCGTCGTGTCCAGGACACGTTAATAACTATAAACGCCTGTTTTCAAGGCACCGCCCCCACTTGCATTAAGGAACTCGTTAAAATGAGAGACAACAAGTACGATTTAAGGGGCAATAATACGCTATCACTGCCAAAAGTAAATACTACAAAGTATGGATTAAACTCCTTCAGATATTTCGCCGCAAAACAATGGAACAGTATTCCAAACGAATTACGATTAAGAGCTGGAGGACTAGAATTTAACAAACAAGTGAGGAACATTCAATTTTAGTTATCTAATTTTGTAATTTTAGATGCTAGATATTTTATATTTTTACACTTCTATGTAAATATTTTCTTTCTTTCTTTCTTAATATTGATTTGTGGAAAACCTGCAAAATAGCTTTAGCTAAGTGTTTCTCCCACGTTAAATAAAGATTATGTTATGTTATGTTATGCCGGCTAATGATTGGGCACAAAAAATGCTTTGTATTATTGTGCCCAATCTGGCGAACACATCTCAATGAGTTCTTTTCGTGTGTTCGTACACGACGATCACGGCTTGTCTAGCCCAGGCACCAAAGAAATGTACGCAGTCAGGAAACTTTCAGTTTGATATAAAATCCCCATCTGATCCAACTCGCTTACTTTGTCAAATGCAAGAGAACTCTTCTGGGACTGAATTTCTACCAACCATATGCAAGTTCATGAAGAGAATGAATTTTGTAATTGCTTTTTTACGTCCTTAACAAAACGTGAAATTAGGTATTTTCACGGGTAGTCTTTCAGTTGACGGCAAAGAAATAAATGTACAAAAAGCGTGATGCTCGTGGCAAGTTGTTGTTTTGCCTTGTCAAGCTATTACTCATTTGACTTTCTCATCGCCGCCGCGTCTTAATTGTGATCCGTCAAAAACAGAATATTCTCTGGGCAAATTCAATTGCTCTTGCTGATAGTAACCCAAATGTTTTTTCAACTCATCGGTAGTTCCTTTGTTTCTGGTTAGGAAAGTAGAAAATAATAGGCCTTATCACGGTTTTCGACGCCATCATGACGGGTAGGCAAGTAGGCGTAAAATTACAGTGTTTGTATGAGAATCCGATGTCGAATAATTTTCGTAAAACGTCCGTTTTGAAAAAACTATGAAATGTAAACTAAAGTTATTAGACAAAAGATTCTTCTCACAAAATTTGAGGGCCTCGCCTGCCCTAGAATCGCTTCTTTTAATGACCTTTAATTTCCAATACATTTGTCTGTAAAAATGTTTTCCCGCCGACTAAATTTCCCGGGAAAAATTACAGACAAATGCATAGAAAATATAAAAAGCTATCAAGAACGTTTTAGCGCGGATACAGCCCTCAAAATTTGTCAGTAGAATTATCTACCTTATAGCTTTAGTTTACAATTTATATTTTTTTTCAAACGGACGTTTTACGAAGATTATTCGACACCGGATTCTCATACAAACACTGTAATTTTACGCGTGCTTGCCTACCCGTCAAGATGGCGTCGAAAACCGTGATAAGGCCTATAGTTTCCCTTGTGCGCACAAGCTTGGTGAACGAACCGGGCAAGTGTGTCAAGACAATAGCCGTCGTGTACGAACTCCCGAAAAGAACTCAGGAGAAACTGTTCGCCGATTAGGCACAAAGCATTTTTTGTGCCCAATCAGGAGCCGGTATTCGCTTGAATGTTTGGAAATAGTTCGATGAGAGTCGGTACCCAGGGGCTCTTCCGCTCTTACTTGAAAACTTTCGTCCCGCCTTTTTTCCCGACCCGACTGACTGCCCCTGGGTCTCCAAGGATGCGTGCAAACGGACGCAACAACTCCCAAACTTGTTGGGCCAACAATGTTGGTAGTTGTTGCTTCTGTTTGAATGCTTAGTCTTGCATCGAATGCTGTTCTTTGCATCTTTACTTAATATGCTTAGACCCGCATTGAATTCTGTTCATTGCATCTTGAAAATGCTAAAACGTGCAATGAGTGCCGTTCATTGCATCTTAAAAATGCTTAGACGTGCATTGAATGCTGTCCATTCATTGTTTCTTACTAATGCTTCGACCTGCATTTAATGCTGTTCATTGGATCTTAGTAATGGTTAGACCTGCATTGAATACTGTTCATTGCATCTTACTAATGCTTAGACGTGCAATGAATGCTGTTTAATGGGTCTTACTAATGCTTAGACCTGCATGGAATGCTCTTCATTGGATCTCACTAAATTAAACCTCTGAAAAAAGTAAAGAATGACAAGGAGAGCGACATTATCCTATTCCTCACTTCCTCACCTATAAAATTGTAGGGCTAAGGATGGAAAAGAAAAAAGGGTGTGGTGGCCATGCCAATGCTAGACATTTGTGCCGAATGAACTGTGCGTATTCTGACTACGTGTTCTGTTATCCACTGTTTGGAGACTGGCAAAAAAGTGTTATCAACTTTTCTTTCGTGCAGATGGTAAAAACGTATAATTAGCACGTCTTAATGACATTTTGGTTTGTACATGCGTAGTCAATACCATCTGGTTATTCATGTTTTAATGATTACTTTACATTGTTTCATTTTGTATGAAAGAAGTAGATCACTGTTTATAAAACCTAGTGGAGAATGTCACGTTTGTTGTTATTTTCCGGGGCTAGTTGTGTTTCATCTTTACTATAATTCAATTTTTAAATGATCCTGCAGACCCTCCGATCATGAAATGATGGTTCTTAGAAAATTCACCAAAATTTCGAGATTATCATCCGAAGATGAACTTCTCTTTTACGTAATGTTCGTTGTAGAATAAACAAACAATTGCGCACTTGATTCCACAATATTTGCTTTTTATCCAAAGTGAAGACCCATTTCTGACAGGATTTATGTAGTTATCTATTCCCATACAAAACAATTTCACAGTAATCAGAACATTTCGCTATCACAACAGTGCAAGAAATCACGTCTCAAAAAGAAAAGTTCCGTGATAAATAGCCCGCCGGGCTCGTAAGAGGAAATTTTCAAATTTATTTTATTTTGCTTGTAATACAAAATCATTTATTAAAATGTGAAAAGAAATAACTACGTAAAGGGAAACGGTTTCCATAATAGATAAAAATTTCCGCAATCCATAAAATTAAAAATTTTAATTTCACCTTGTAATTATTCCCAACCGATTTACCAATTTGTTGGTTTTTCCTTTAGGTTTTGTTGGGAATTTGTTTTTTCTACTGAAGTTTGAGAAAAAAGGTGACAGAAAGGAAGATTGAGCGTTTTGTTATTTTGTAACTTTACAAGGGGTGTTGATGATTTGAACGGCATGCAAAGCGTGGAAAGATCAACTGTGAATGATAAAAGACCTTCAAGATGTTTAGTCTCATCGTTTGCAGGTGATGGGGAAGAAAAATTGTCACTCTCTTTCCTTTCTTTTCATTTAAAAAACATTTTTTCCTCAAAAATTAACTATCGATCCCTTTATCTGTAGTCAAGTACATGTATGCAGTCTGTACACGTGGCGAAGGAAGTAGAACGTACAGCGAAGATTTACTTTCCACGCGGACAGTTTTAAAGTGAACGAAGCAGATCTACTTTGATCCAAATGACAAAAACGGCTAAATGATTAGAAGTAAGATACTTACGCGAGTTTCCCAGCTTTCAAAAACTGATCCTCACAAATCTTTTATGATAGTGTGTACGTCTCATTCCCTTTTTTTGCAGAGTCTTTTGAATCTCCTAGTCGTAAGGGTTTCATTGTTGCCCGTTAAAAAGATCAATGGCGCATGGACTTTCACCAAACCGTGCGTTTTAAAACGGCTTGATCAGTGATTGAATTTTGAACAGAATGTTAAGTAAGATAGAGAGGTCTGTAGTAACTACATATAGGTTTCAGCCTCTACCCAAGAATGCTCAAAATAACGACCAGTGAGTGTATTGGATGAATTATCCCTGTATGGTGCGCTTGGTATTATGTGCTGACTGCAGTAATTAAACTGAGTTTACCGAAGGTACGACCTGATGATTAATGGTGTCAGCGATAAGGTCAATTTCAGTAGCATTGTCAGCCGGCAAATGAAACCTTATCTATAAAGCAGGGATCGCTTGACTTTTCGTAATCGACATATGATAGTTTAGATTAGCTGGGATTTTTCGATTTTGTGAAATTTACTGAGAATATGGGACTGCCGGTCATTTAGTGTTTTGAAAACCTTGACCGGTTACCGGCCATATAGCCACAGCGAAACCTTATGGGACAACATGGAAAGTCAATGGCCGGTTTGATCGCCTCCTTAATGCTTGTTGCTTTAGTTTCCTCCAAAGGAAGTATTTATTTGTATACTGGTTTCAGATATGAACGTTAATTATTATAATTATAATAATCATCATCATCATCATCATCATCATCATTATTATTATTATTATTATTATTATTATTATATTTCGCGCAATAGAATAATAATAATATTGCGCACAATAGAGTCGTTTGAAGATTACGTTGACCCTATCCAAGAGGCGATCGACGACTTACTTCTCCCAACACTATTCGTTCCAACGGAGCCCCTCCCTAGTGATCTGCGTCAGCTCGTTACTTTGACACCCGCTCAAGGAGGGCTAGGCGTACCCGACTTACGGTTTGAAGCTCCACAGCAGTTTGCTGCTTCTACGTTAATAACAGCACCGCACGTAGATTCTATTACCACACAGAGCATGTTCATGGTGTCAGGCGAGAATTCTACGGAGGAGTTAAAAAGACAACATCAAGCCTTAAAAAATGCGTCGGTGAAATCGAGAATGGAAAGTATTGATTTCACTCCACCCTCGGATCTGCTGCGGTCAGTTAACCAATCGAGAGACAAGGGTGCAAGCTGTTGGCTTACCGCAGTGCCTCTTGTCCATCAAGGTTTAGTGCTGAATAAACAAGAATTCAGGGACTCGCTGCGTATGCCCCTGTCCGACTTACCAAGCAAGTGTGTTTGTGGTGAGAAGTATACCGTCTCCCATGCCCTGTCAAGCAAAAAGGGAGGTTTCGTGGCGCAGAGACACGATGGTGTTCGCAACCTACTTACCTCACTTATTGGTAAGGTTTGCACCAACGTTGAAGTCGAACCACAACTACAACCTCTCGATAATGAGCGATTCAACCTCAGAACCGCGGTAACAAGCCCGGAGGCAAGACTGGACTTTAAGGCAGGGGGCTTTTGGTCTCGTGGAGTTACAGCATTTTTTGCTGTCAGAGTAACGCATGTTAACTCCAAGTACAACCAGGGAAAAGAAACATCCACAATCTTTAAGGAGCAGGAGGAGGAGAAAAAGCGGAAGTACCAACAGAGGGTGCTGGACATTGAAATGGGATCTTTCACTCCCCTAGTTTTTGGAACCAACGGTGGGATGGGAGCCCACTGCAACTGCTTTCTTAAACGCCTAGCCGAGAAGCTCTCAGAAAAGAATGAGGAACCTTATCACATTACTATTACTTGGATTAGAACATTGCTTTCTTTTGAGATTATAAGGTCCGTACACACATGCGTAAGAGGTTCTAGGACACCCTTCCACAAAATTCCACGAGGGGATTTCATTGATGACTACCGCTTAAACGCCACCCAAGCGTGTGTGATAATGGCGTGAGCTCGTTAATTTAGTTTAGTTGAAATGACCCGTTTTTTAATTGAATTTTTTTTTCCCGAATATATGATATTTTTTAATGACATGAATTTTTTTCAGTTGAAAGTAAGTGTCTTTTTTTTTTCTTTAATCGCTGAAAGGAATAATGTAAATAGAACTTTGTAGTTTTTTAAGTGAAATTAATTGTAAATAGGAATTTATATTTAGCTTTGTTATCAATAAAAGATTTGGGGTTTTTTGGGTTTTATTATTATTACTATTAATATTATTATTACAAGTGATACCGGTAAAAGTAAATAGCTTCGAGTTTAAAACCTTAAAATAATATGATCAAAAAGGATTAGTTTTTTCGTCTTTCTTCGGTGCCGCATATTTATACGACCGAGTCACGGTTGGAGGTTGTTTGCTATAGTGAGAAGTGATTCCATTTGCCTTCATTGAAATGGATGAATATGAAAAATGATCGCTCTTTTTGATATGCAAATCATGTCAAAGGGAAAGTAAAATCAACTATTACAGCCGATTCTTAAATCGCGGCACAGGCCAATTAATAAAATGGATTTACATAGAGAGTTGCGAATTGCTCTAACTGAAAAGAAAACAACAACTTAATAATAACAGCCTGCAAACCACAAAGCTGAAACTTATGTCATGTTAGGCCCCTTTTATGAGTACCGAACACCTATTTTAGTCGATGAAAGTAATTAAATAGGGCAGTTGATTCAGACGTCGAATATATGATGGTGCCGAATTTAACTCCGTTTGTTGTAAATATTCCCAGTCTCTAGAAAATTTTTTATCCAATATGGGTAAGGGTTTATACAATTAATCCATTATACTCGGCACATGTGAAATGCGACTTCTAAATCAAATGTTGAACTTAAGTCGAATTTTCGACTGTTTCAGTCGCAGATTCAACAAAGTCGTATTTAATTTGAAACTGTCGAATTTTGGAATTTAGTTGATTCAGACGTCCCATCTCAAAGCAGTTACCTCTAGAATTAAATTAGGCACAAGTGAAAATCGACGATTGAGCTGGGTAATGAAACAGTGTCCAGTATTACTAAAAATGCCGTTAGATACGCTATGATACATACCCCATTTTATATATTCCTGTAAACTTTGCTTTCAATTTACCACATTATGTTTATACTAGCTATATGCACCACAAAGGTAAGAAAAGAGAGTAAAAAGGAGATTTTTAAAAAAGAGAAAATAAAAATAAGGTTTCGAAAAATTTGCTTCAAGGGGATTCAGAGATCATACCGAAGACCATAACGATGAATACCTACAGGATTTAGTTCACAAACTTACTACCAATGCAAAACATCTTAAAATAGCACACTTAAACAACCGTGGCTTAAGGAAAAAGGTGGACGAATTACGAATCCTTCTAAAGCTTTGCCATTTCGACGTATTCGGAGTATCAGAAACGCACTTGAACAGTGAAATCATCGACGGAGAAATAGGCATTAAAGATTACAATCTCATCCGAAGAGACAGACCAGGCAGACAAGGCGGGGGCTGTGTGAAATATTATCGCAAGTCGCTGAAAGCAATCCACCGACCGGACTTGGAAGATGAACAAGTGGAAGGAATGTGTATGCAAGTAAAGCCTGACTCAAGAGACATCCTAGTAGGAACTATATATCGACCACCAAACCAAAACAGTGAATTCTTCACAGCGTTTCCAAACTGAAATTAATGGTAAATATCTGGACAAAATTCTCAAATATGGTACTTCTTGGAGACTTTAGTACCAATCTATTACAGGACGAACGTGGCGACACGTCGTACGAGGGAAACAAGATGAAAGGGATACTCGAACAGTTTAATATGAAGAACGTGGTAAAAGGACCAACAAGAATTACTAACCATTCTAGAACGTTGATTGACCTCATTGTCACGAATAGAAAAGATCTGGTCAAACAAAAGGGCACATGTCCCCTGGGTATCTCAGATCACGACATGATTTATGCAACCTTATCAGCCAGTATCCCGAGAGACCAGCCTAAAATAATTACCATCAGGAACTTCAACAAATTCAACGAAAGGAACTTTCAAAGTGACATTGCCCGTGCGCCTTTCCAAGTCTGCGAAGTTTTTGATGACCCCACTGACGTTTATTACGCATGGAGCCTGCTCTTCAGAGAATTATGCGACGAACACGCACCACTAAACAAATTAAAGTACGCAGTAACAGCCTGCCTTGGATAACAAAGGAAATCAGAATAACCATGAATCAAAGATACAAGACTCTGAAAAGGGCACGTCAGCTAAATGATCCACTGCTATGCGATGACTATAAAAGACTTAGAAATAAAGTATCAACAATGACGAAAAAAACCAAAGACGATTATTACTCCAATCTATTCGATGAAGTAAAATCCGCTGCTGCTTACTGGAGACTACTGAAAAAGACATCAGGAACAACAAAAGTAAACAGACAAGCCCACCAATTAAAGAAGGACGATGGAACCCTTACAACAGATGAAACTGAAAAGGCAGCCATGTTAAACGAATATTTCTGCACAATTGCTGAAAAATTGATTGGCCCCGCGGATGAAATTCAGCCTTTCAGCTCATAGCCGTGAGAATACGGATACGCCGATTATGACCAGTATCACGATCAGTCAGAAGGAAATCGACGAAAAGATCTGTAAGTTAAAAATGAAGAAAGCCACGGGGCCAGATGGCGTATCTGCGAGTCTTTTAAAGTATGCAGTATGGCTATTGCCCCATCTCTCAGGAGCGTGTTTAAACAGAGTGTTGAAGCCTGCACTGAAGCCACCGGACCAGTGGAAAATAGCTAGAGTCAGCGCAGCGTTCAAAAAAAGACGAGAGGAATACAGGACATGTTACAGACCACTGTCTATGCTTAGTGTACCAAGTAAATTAATGGAATCCCGCGTCGCAAGTAATATCACTAATCACGTGGTTACGCAAAATTTACTTGATAACAGACAATGGGCTTATAGGAAGGGAAAGTCAACAGAACAGCTATTAATACACCTAACCGAGAGGTGGAGAGAAGCAGTAGAAAGAAAGCTTTTTGTGGGAATACTGTTTGTGGATTTCATTAAAGCTTTCGAAAAAGTGTCGCACAATATATTGCTACAAAAGCTGAACGACCTGAACGATCTGAACGAGATATCTGGCTGTGGTTAAAGAACTACCTTACAGAACGAAGACAATTCGTCAGAATCAACGGATCCGACTCCGATACACACATTATAGCTCAAGGAGTGCCGCAAGGGTCGGTCCTCGGACCCACGTTATTCTCCCTCTTCACAAACGACCTCCCAAAATCACTATACTCTGCGCAAACTTATCTGTATACAGACGACACAACAGTATACTGTATCGCAGAAACGATGGATTTGCTAACAAACTTACTAAACAATGTTCTAGCTGAACTCCAGGAATGGTGCGACAGAAATTGGATGGTACCACACCCAAAAAGATGTAAAGCAGTGATCATGCAGTGCAAATCAACATTTACTGGCCCTATCCAAGCTCTTCACCTTGGCAACAACAACATAAGGTGGACAAACTCAGAAAGACTCCTCGGAGTACAAGTTGATAACAAGTTGATCCTGGTCAGATCAAGTTGATCTGGTCAGATCATGCTGCAAATGTAGCGAAGTCCTTCGCATCCAAGTTAAGTCTACTCCGATGCATGCGATTCCTCCCTCAGAAGCAATTAGAAGATTTCTACACAAAAGTGATACTGCCATCAGTTACATACGGTCCGACAGTGTGGAAATCGTGCAAAAAGACGCACCTAAACAACCTGGAGAAACTCCATGCAAGGGCTGGACGGATCGTATATGAGCTGCCATGGGACACCAGCGCTGAAGATGTCTAAATGCGAACTGGATGGGATAGTCTGGAAACAATGTACAAACTGCGACTAACGGAGTTTGTCTCTAAGTGTTTAAAAGGTTATACCGTCACGGAATTTAAAGATTTGTTTTTACAGAGGAATTCAGGCCGCAGAAGAAATGAGAACATCATTCTTCCAAGACCAGAAACAAATTTTATCAGGAACTCCATACGCTCCATTCGCATGGAACACTTTAACGAACAAGGAAACAAGGGCCAAAACCTTGAAAGAATTTAAACGCTGTCTTGTAAAATTTGATACCGATAAAATGCATTTCGAACCAATCTTAGCTACTACTAAAAATAGAGATATCGGTTACGAATACTTTTAACAGTTTTAATTTTTAATTGTATATTTTCACGACCTATTTTAAACATTTTTAACAGTTTTTAATTTTTAATCGTACATTTGCTTTTAGTACTTCTTATTTTTCTTGTAATTGTTAATATGCACGACCCCACCAACAATGCTGATCTTCTTATCGTGCTAAAATAAAGTGCTTATCTTATCTTATTCGAACCCGGACCCTCAGATTCAGTTAGACCTAAAAGTTATCAAATCAAATGTTATCTTGTTTGGTCTGACAGTCTTCTACATATAAAATTGTCAAAGCTTTTTAAAGATTACCTCAAAGAATTCTGGGAGATTTTTTATGATAATTATAATTTACTTTTATAACAGCTATAATAGCACGCTAAACTATTACTATTATTACTAGTGATAACCAAAATTTTCGGAGTGCGGGCGTCAACGATAGAAGGTCAATCTGCGTTTGCTCCATCCACAGGTAGCCCAGACGTAGTGTGTGTCAACAACATGGACAAAATCGATCGGAGCTAGACTAAGAGTCGACGATATTCGACTCGGAAGAGGAATTTAAAAATATGTAATATTTCAAATAAATATATCTTTACCGTTATATCTTTCTGTACTGACTTGTCCTGGTTAATTCTCCCCTAGAAATTTCCTATCGAATCTGACACTCTTACGAGCGCCACATTTAAAAACCCTATTGTCGAACTAAAATAGCCTGGCAGTAAAAATATAAAAAAGCAAAGCCAATTAACATACCTTCAATTGAACGTCTCCTTGTCAGTCCTGGCCGGTTTAAGTGGCATTTTGTCGAGTTTTGCATTGTTTTTTAAGATTACCTAAGCGTTTTCCGGGGCATTGGATAATATTTTACCAGGTTTGTAAGACGATCGCATGACAGTTTGCTCGACTCCACAGCATAAAAACAAAGGCGATGCGCGGTATCAACTGTAATATTGACTACAATCAACAATCAAGGCATCCTCGGAGACCCAGGGGCGGTCAGTCGGGCCAGGAGAAAAGGCGCGACGAAATTGTTCAAGCACAGGCGGAAAAGTCGGCGGAAAAGCCCCTGGGTACCGACTCTCACCGGGCCATTTCCAAAAGGTCATGCGAATGCTGGCTCCTGATTGGGCACAAAAAATGCTTTGTATTATTGTGCCCAATCGGCGAACAGTTTCTCCTGAGTTCCTTTCGTGAGTTCGTACACGACGGCTATTTTCTTGCCACAGTTGCCCGGTTCGTTCACCAAGCTTTCCTAACCAGAAACGAAGAAACTACTGATGAGTCGAAAAACGTTTCGGAAGCTATCAGCAGGAGCAATGCAATTTGCACTGAGAAAATTCTGTTCCTGACGGATCACAATGTATCGTAAATAATAGGAAGTTTAAGATGCAGCGGTGACGAGAAAGTAAAAAAAGCAATAGCTTGACAAGACAAAACAACAATTTTGCACGTGTATTACGCTTTTTTGTACATTTCTTAGCCGTCACTACACGACTACCACGTGAAAATGCCTAATTTCACGTTTTGTGAAGGAAGTAAACAAGCAATGACAAAATTTTCTTTCACTTTATGAGCTTGGATATGGTTGATAGAAATTCAGCTCTAGAAGAGTTGGCTTGCATTTGACAAAGTAAGCGAGTTGGAATAATCATGATAGAGACTGAAAAAATGTGACTTTACTTTTCATGCGACGTTTTCGTGGCTGTTGGCTGTCGTGGCAAACTGCCTAATATTTACGAAGGCGTGATCGATGCAAGCGTGAATACCTGTTGTGAGCTCAAGCTTGTATTTTTACAAAAGCGTCTTTAGTTTTCGGGTAGACAGTATTTTGAAATGGAGAGTTTATATCAAACTCAGGCGGTGTGCGCACTACGATTGCGATGCATTGTGGATTCAAAATTTTCAAGATGGCGGCGAAGGTCGAGAAATTTCGCAGGTTATATGCTTTATTTTTCAATAGATACAGTTCTTTCCTTAGATCGTTTTTCTCGATTTCATAAGCTAATATTTGTTTAGATTTTTTCTGTGAAGAAAAACAAATCAATACTCCTCATTTCAATCTAAAACGTGGAGCCCGAAGTTTCCTCCTGTAAGAGCATGAAATTTGAACCCGGTTTTTAAGAAGCTATAATTTCCATTATATTGCCCGTCGAAAGTAGAACATAGTTGTAAGTGTTTCTACAAACCTTGTTCTACGCTAATTTTTTATCGCTCTCCAACGCGCCCCACGTTTTGTGATACTTTTTCCGAATTGAAACCGGCATGTTTTCATGGGAAAATGTAGCCTCGCGAAGACCAATGTGACATGTTACTGGAAGTGTTACTGTTGTAATCACAAGCTGATCACAAAATAGCGGGGCAGCGGCGACTGGTTCCTTCAAACAATAGCATTAGGTGAGCATAAAATGTTCGAAATTGGTATATAAATAGGCTGATAATCACTCTGATGTAGGAATGTCTGTTTTTGTAATAGGAATTAAAAAAGCATAATAAAA